ATGAGACTTTGGTGTCATTGACACAGGGCTGATTGAGCACAAAAGAAGTTTCGTCCCAACGCAGTGTCTAACGGACACGCAAGCCTCATTGGGGCAATAATCGATTGGAACTATAAATGTTCTCAATCTTAATGGGGCGAGTGTAACGGGGTTACACATACCCTGGTAACAGGGGAGCGTCACACCAGATGGGCATAATGCGACCACACCCAAACGAGAATACAGTACGAGGCTGGATAGCCAGCAGTTATATATGTATTTAGATTTTACTATACATATTTAGGAAAATCTATGCATTTGCAATTAGGCGGCTTTGCCGCTGATAACAATAAATAAAGTCCATTCTGAGTAAACAGAAGAGCTAATTAGCCTTGTTTAAGGCTATAATCACTCTTATGGTAAGCGGATTGCGATCGCTAAACTCGTACTTGTTCTGTGCATAGAACGACAGGTCGGTGACGTAACTTACGCTTCCTCAAAGCGCAAAGCTACGGCAGCCCCGCTGCAAGAACCTTACTAAGGTCACCGACGTACCGTTCTCTACTAAGACCAGTATGAGTATAGCGGATCGCAATTTGCTATACTTAAAATCCTGAACCAAGGCAAAGACGCTCTTCCGTTCAAAATTGAAACTGTATTTTATGGAATTCCTTGCGGCAGAGCCGCCTATATTTTAAACTTAGTTCTTCCGGATTAAATGGTAATATGCATAATGCAGCGAGGCTGCCGCAGTAAAACGCTTGAGGAGGCGTACTTTAGGTCACCGACCTTTCGTTCTTTACATGGACCAAGTACTAGTGCAGCGAATTGCAATCCGCTGCCTCCAAGAGTACTTAGAACCTTAACCAAGGCAAACGAACACTTCTGCTCAAAATCGAAACTGATTTTTATCTATCTTTTACCCTGATTTTAAAAGCATAGATTTTCCTAAATATACTGAATATATATATATATAGTAAAATCTAAGTATGCATCACTACTGGCTACCTAGCCACATACCGTATTCTTGTTTGGGTGCAGTCCCGCCATGCCTGTTACCAGGGTCCGTGTAACTCCGTTACACATAACCACTGGCAGTCCCACCACGTAGTTGCTTCTTGTTATGGTGTAGCCACACCATTGTGTGATTACACCGACTTGTGTACTCGATGCCTTTTGCACGGTCACACCATTTACCTGTATGCCAGGGTACGTGTAGTTCCGTTACAGATAAAGTCATTTTTAAAGTTTTTTTAGTTTTAGACAGTAGCTCATTATGCTTGCGGAAAGATAGGAGATCATGTGCCGTGCACTTCGTGATACGATGTTCAATTCCATCTAGTGATATTAACTATATAGCATTGTATCAGCCGTCCTTAACATGCAGTTTCATGGACCCTATAATTTGTGATGTATTACACAACATTTAGCTCGTTGACACTATTAAGATAACCACATAAAATTTGCTGAGATAGTATTTTAAATTAATGAGTGTAATTCCTAGCTTTTTTAAGTTTGATTAATGATGCCTCAATAGTGCCTCTCCACGAAAATTCCCATGTTCCTGAGCTCGCTTTCTTCCGGTATCCACAGTACCAGCGCAGCCAGGCTGTGGACTGCTAATATTATCTGAATAAACTGTACAGCCCCACGAGCTCAGACTCTTACCGCAATGCGTTGAGTTGGTTATAAGGCTGGTTAGAAACAGTCAGGGCTAATTCGCAACTCATTTGGCTAATACTATAAACGTAAAAACTTTCCAAAAAAATTAGACTATAATTTCAGGGTGTGAATTAAAGCACTTCAGCTGTTGTTTTCAATATTGGCAGACTTTTGTATACTAAATTTCACTGCGAGAAAGAATGAGCAAATCGTTAAAATGTGCGTTATCATTGCGATGTCTCTTAGGCTTAAAGTATGCCTGTAGATGTTGTAGACCTTATAGCTGTCAATACGGCCAATACGTATTATGTTGTATTTTTGTGCTCACGTGACTAGTCGGCTTAAGCGTAATAAGTTCAAAGATGTCATATAAAGCAGTCAACACCCAGACGAAATAAATGACCCTTATACTTTATTAAATTAGCTTAGCACTCAAACACTAAAAAAAAGCGTTTCCAAGCATGAAGCATATGTTAAAATCGACCAAAAGTATTGTGTTGCTGGTCTTGAGACTGGTCTTCTAAGCTCCCATGAAGAGAATTAGTGTGTTCATCAAAAATCAACGTCTTCGTAAAAGTGAATTGGGGCACACGAACGATAGCTTGCTCCATTGACGAACAGTCAAAGAATCGACCAAATGCTTGCGCCCAATGAATCCAATCGGAAGGCATTGATGTTCGAAGTTCTTCTCGTCGCGGAGAACCTTCAGCATCAACGCCAATAAGATGAAAAGAATCATTTTTGTCTGTGAGCACCACACGTAATACCTGATATCGCTCCTTTAGTTTACCATTGACTGTATTTTCGTTTGCGTAAAGACAAAGACTGTCATCACTCTTGAAAAGACAATAGTATGGTTTCCATCGCTTTAGAACAAGTCCTTTGCGCTTTTGTAACCACCCTCGTATCAATACTGTTGTCAGTTGCTTTTTCTTTGCCATTGGAAAGCCAGCCGCCGCTGCAGTCGAGCTTAAGTGAAATGTGCTTTGATTCATATCACCATTTCCATCGCGGCTTAAGTTATGAAACGAATTTTGAAAACGAAGTCGAGACGATTCGAGATCTTCCGTCGTAGTTGTCGTGTGAACACTTCCCGTGCTGCTACTAAGTGGATTCGGCTTAGACTTCTCATCGTAATAGAACGCGTGATAATTGTCAGATTGCTGATTTTGTATTGTGTATTTGATATTTGAATTTAGACAAGCAGCCATTTCAAACGCGTCGTGCTCAATTGACCTCTTTCTTCCACGCACCGACTCGAGTGTGAACTTATCAAAGTTAAAGTCGATGGACTCCTTGCTGTCAGTTGTGATTGAAGTCGTACATGCGGTAGAAATATCGGCACATTGCGACAATGACGTCTTGTAACTCACGTGTTGAATTTGTTGCTGAAAAGTTGGTGACAAGAGCTGGTGACCAGCCTTAAGTGGCTCATTTCGAGATCGTGCTTGTGACTGCATGATGAAAAAGTCGCTGCTTTGGTGGATAGTGCACGAATGGGAACGATGTATACAGTTCTACGAGACGACAAGCTCAATTGTTCTTTTCTTCGAAAGATCAAAGACAATATTCGTTTGTCAACACAAGAAACCTCCGGCTTGATAATAAGAATCAAAAGTGAAGCAAACTGAGTTTCAGCACAATGAGTAAGACTTGCCGTGCGTTCTTTGCGCTGCATGGCCGTCCATAGTGCAAGGGGTCAACCGATAAGATTATGAGTTTCTTGTGTAAGGACTGAACATGTTGTCATATGGTAAATTCTAAATAGTGGGACGATAGCCTATAAGACGTTATGAGCCACAAAATCCACATGGTTCTATTCCGAGAATCAATTACGTACATGCAGATCATGTGGATGGATAGGCAGCTAAATCTTATATAAGTTGTTTAACGTACATGAGATCTTTCCCTTAGATCTGCACCATGGAGTTTAAGCACTAATAATAAAGATGCGTCAACGTTGATATAAACGCAACTATAGAGGTAGATGAAACGCTCGACGTTCCTATCGTTGTCAATACGGCAATGTTAATCAACACATGCGATGTCTACAATATATTTCAACATCGTACGACAAAGTGAAATTTGTACTTTAATTTCTTGCGACGTATCTACTGTCTCTCATCGTTACAAGACCTCGATACCAACGCCTTAGTTGACGTTTTCGAAGTACTCTTTCGACGCAGCTACTGAAGGTTTGATAGTCTTATTGCCCTTCTTCCAACCAGCAGGACACACTTCTCCGTGTTCGTCCGTAAACTGGAAAGCTTCCACAAGACGTAGAATCTCATCCACGTTACGTCCAACAGGACAATCGTTTACCGTGCTCTGACGAAGCTTTCCGTTGCCATCAATGATGAAGAGACCACGGAAAGTCGCACCAGTCTCTTCCCCCACGTCAATCAAGACATTGTAAGCCTTGGCAATCCTCTTGTCAAAATCGGCGAGTAGAGGAATGTTAACCTCACCAAGACCACCTTGTTTACGAGGCGTGTTGATCCAAGCCAAATGCGAGAATTTAGAGTCGACACTGCATCCAAGAACTTCGCATCCTAATTTGCGAAATTCTGCTGCTTTTTCACTAAAAGCAATGATCTCCGTCGGGCACACAAAGGTAAAGTCCATGGGATAGAAAAAGAGAACGACATACTTGCCCTTGTAATCAGATAGAGACACGGACTGAAACTCTCCGTTCACCACAGCATCGGCGGTAAAGGCAGGGGCGTCGTGTCGGATCTGGAGGGTCATTTTAAAGAAAAAAATACTAAGCTTTTGATGAGGAAGCGAAAACGGCTACTGGATCTCAGCCATTGATAGAAGAATCATCGGAGTAATTGTACTCTATTTTAAGTACAGTATAAGCTTGTTTTTGCACAGGTAGGACATGATCGCCCTCTAGTGACCCCTGAAATTCTATTTAAAGATTAAGTTTTAACCTTTTTATAAGTTGCGCTATGGGGTAAGAATGAATGCTTCATGAGGCTTCGAGCAACATCGCCTTTATACTGTAGTCAATATCATTAATGAATAAAATGAGCGACGAAAGCAACCGAACTATAAAACGGCTTGCTGTGGACATACTGCTTGTTCTTGGCTGTATGTGACCCCATAAATATTGGTAGAATCCATCAGAGATACAATACTATCATGCGAGTTTCATCAACTCAGATGTGGCGTGTGTGAATGCCATTTTGAGCTTTCCTGGTGTGACGAGATCCCCAGAATTCAAAGTGAACTGAACTTTATGGTTCACTGTCTGCGCTCGACTTTGTGATTCGGCACGATTTTGATGCAATTGAGCGCAACTGTATGTGAGACTTTCTGTGGTTTGCGAGACAGTGAAAGGTGACAAGAAGCGAGGTATTTTGTTGGGCATTAACCTGCCAAAACGATGGACCATTGAGTTGGTTAATGTTAAAGCATGTTGAAGTATGAATATAATTCGTGAGCGGAGAAAGCTCCAGCTTTCATGATGACGTTTTACACTTTAAAATAATTTGAAGCCAAAGCTTCTCGCGGAGATCGACTCGGTAGTGCAAAAGCTCTCTAATTGCGACGCAAACGTCGGGACTTTACAAAATCGGACTTAGAAAGCGTCCTTCCGATATTGCAGTTCTATGCTGAAAGCTAAGCTAATTGGAAATTTCTTGCAAGACCAAAAGTCGCAAAAGAAACTATAAACGTTCTTCATGTTCGCGTAGCAGCTCGCACATTATCTGACAAAACATCACAATGCGCAGTAGTTCTTTAGTTCAGTGATGCTGTCGTGCTCGTGCAAGTTTATGTTGAGAGTGAGAGCGTATAATGCACTTCCAGCAAGCTGATGTATGGATTGACGATCTCAGCGAGAGCTCGACAATTGTTTTACGTCTGTCGTTTCCATAGTCTCAGACTCCAATTACAGCTGATCCTATACCCTGACTGTTATACTCGATTCTCGACTTTGATGTTTGACCAACAAGCGCCTAACCGTGAATCGTATAAAGCCGGTTCTTCAATCTTGTGGGGGTAGCAGCTCGTGTTTCTTTTAACTGATGACAGTAAATTCGATGAGTTATCTGATCTGCATCTTAGGCTCGCTCTTGAGTTTAATTGTGCAAGAGAACATCTCACTTACTTTTCGTTCCATGTAGTATATCGTGTCCACGTTAGAAACGTGCGACTCTGTAGCGCATTGATAACTCGAGCTAAGCAATATACGCTAAATACAATAGATGGTATTCTTTTCTGTTTGTTCATAGATAAATAGGTTGCATAATACCAAAATTGACCGACTCTCACTAGTTAACGATGCACTCACTCATCGTCGTCTCTAGAGCACTATCTGTTTTCAAATGAACACTTTCAGCTTCTCACGCTTCTTTGACATGAATCAACTCATTGTCTGCGTCGATCGGCTTGATCGAGATTTCTCTAACTTTCAGCATTGGTACCGTTGCCTTTATTGGTTTCACCAGCATCCGTAGCACCTTCAATTGAAGCCGCGACAACCGGAGTTGTAGTACTTTCAGTTGCTATAATTTTGGATGTGGAAGACGCGCTTACCGACTGCGTGAGTTTTGCCTCAGTGGTTTCTGGTGTCAGAGCTACTGATTTCGCACCCATACTAGTCGTTTCTGGTTTTGTGGCTACAATATCATCACCTACAAAGTTTGTTGCATCTTCTTTTTCGGCCTGCGTCTTGGACGATGGATAGGCTTGCGAGTTCTGTGAGTTGTTAGTCTTCGCCATCATGACTTGAAGTGCTGCGGCTACCGCGGTTGCGGTTGAGCCAGGGTTCGAATTCAGGGAAGGAGATGAAGATGATATTGTTTGCGGTAGTATTGTAGTAAGCACTGGTGTCTGTGGAATCTTTGGACGACGGGGTTTGACTATCTTTTCAATCGGCAACTCACAAGTGTCACGCAAAATAATCTCACCATCACCTCTTATAGTTTGTTGCGTCTTCGGTCGCCGTGTACGTTGCTTTTTTGAAGGTACGAACAGAGACGTATTAGTCGACGTGGAGACGGTTGTCGTAGTCGCTCCAAAAGTAGTACCAGGTATAGTGACGGGTCTCTGAAAGGTATTTGTTGTATTTCCTGGTGTAAAAGTATCCGTACTTAACCGACTGAGCGTCGTGGATGGAATCATCGCCTTTGCTCTTGCCAATGCCAACGCCATCGGCAGATTTGAGACGTGTAATGCATGAGGACCTTGTGCAAACGCACCAGACTGCATTAATCCAATTGGAAAACTCGCTCCAATCATATTTTTAGTTACGATGACTGGGTTTGCCGGAGGGACGGCAGACATCGTTGTGGAAACGGATGATACCGAAGCTTGCGGGGCCACTGCATTATATTCGGTAAATTGTCGCTTCCAGTACTCACTTGCAGCACTCATCACATTAGTCGCTGGCTTGAGATCCATCGGCACTTTCTTCTCAAAAAGGCGATATGTTTTTAGACGTAATTTGCCATGTGAATGTGGCAGTGACTCTGATGTCTTTATTTGCTTATCCATTTCATTTAAACGAATGACAAACCGTCGGCCCGAATTGTCGACATCTAAATTCCCGCATGCATTCCCAAACACAACATTGTCTTCAATAATTACATTGCCAGCGTGATAGAGAAGGCGTATGCCAAAACGTGCATTTCGTTGAATTTTGTTCCGTCGCATGATAGCATGTCCACCCAACACCGTAACTCCTGAGTGTGCATTGTCTTCTACTGTATTTAGTGACATGACCAAAGACCCACGCACAAGAAGCACACCGGAACTTCCCGCGCCTCGAATGCGACAATTCTGAAGCACTAGCAATGTATCCGCAGCAGGAATCTTTGTTGTCGTTGCAGCATCCCCAGGCTGAGAAGTAACACGCGGCATTTTTGTTTCTCCAGTATTCAATATTGGGCTCATACTAACAGGCGCTGAAAGTGTTGGCGCCACAATTCTAGTTATAGTGGTTGTCGGGACAGAAGTTGTCGGTATGTTCGACAGCGAGACGATCGCTGGCACAGCGACTGGTACTACACTTGAAGGTGTACCTTTTAGTGTCGAAGCAGTTGCTTGCGCCGTGGTGAGCATTTCTTTACCCGATGACTTACCTGAGTCATTAGGTGTGGCAGCAACAATATGCGTCGTGGAAGATAATGGTGTGTCAGTAGAAGCCAACGTCGCTAACGGCTCAACAAGAGAAGTCTGAGGCTTTGATGGTAGCGTCGAACTGGTACTCTTCTCATCTCTGCGTCTTCTTTTCCTTTTCTTTTTCTTTTCCCCTCGGCCCCAGACGCACACGCATGCGTTGCCCAATCCATTGCTTTCAAATTCGCAGAACTCCACACGCAGCTGTCCGTCCCCCACCACACTTAATAAATGCTGCCAATTCGCCAATTTTTTGTCTTGCTTACGCAAAGCACGTTTACTTTCCCGAACTACGGGGGTCACCGCAGTATAATTTTTGCACGATTTGATCTCACGCGCAGCAGCATCGGGAACACTAGTCGTTCGCGTAAAATGGAAGCCACGAATGATTCCACCGCGGGCACTCCAGCGAACTTGCGCACGACAAGAATGCATCTGCAGCTCAATGTGTGAATCAGAAGCTCCAAGTAGTCGCACACACTTCGAGATTTCCAACGGTTCATCCAATTGATATACTCCAGCGCCAAACAGAATTGTGTCACCAGGTGCTACTTTGGCCAGAACCTGGACCAAAGATGCTGTGGACCCGAGCTCAAAATCACAAGCAGAGACCTTAACAAACAACGAAGGATGCTGCGCTGCTGTGTGCCAGCTTCGACATACCATTTGTGCACGATGACGTTCAGGATATGTGGTCAGCATTGCCATCACGCGTTGTAATGCTGGTGGCGGTAAGCCTTCATACCCTCTCTTGAGTGCGCTTTGAAGCTGCTCATTTGCAGTCCAGACAGGAGGGCATTCCCATGTGGCTTCACGTGTATCTCGATTGAAGTAGAAGGGTTGACCAGTGTTCGCACATTTCAAAAGCGACCATGCTGCTCCTGTAACTAAACGCTTTCGACTTTCGAAGAGTACGTGCGCTCGTTCACGACGATACAACTCAGCGTACTGCTTGTCAATTTCCTCTGGACTAAGTCCCTCAACACCATCCATTTGTCCAACCACAAGCTCTCCTTCAGCAATAAGACGGATCTCTTCTTCTCGCTTTCCAAGCTCGATCTGCTCAATATCTTGTAAAAGCGTACGCGGACTGGGATCAGCTTCAACTCCATCAAGAGCAACCTGTTGAGCAGGAGTGTACGCATACAATGGTTCGACATCCTCACGAAAATGGAGCGCATAGCGATCCACTGGATTCAACGAGTCCTCAAATCCTTGCAGCGATTGCACAGAAGCTTTCCAAGCTTGAAGCTTTTGTTCCTCAGCAGCATCCCGAGCTTTTTCACGAATTCTATCATTGAAGCCGTTGTGGTCGTGAGACTCGAGTGACTTATGGCGCTTTTTCTTTTGATTGTTTGTATTGCTACGCTGCCGTTTCCGACTAGGCTTGGACTTCTTATCATCTTCATTGTCTTCATCCGAGCTCTCGTCGCGCTCAAAATCATCGTACGTTGTAAGATTGCGCTGTCTTCCCTTCTCAAATGAAGGTCGAAGTTCCGAATGTTCCACTTGATTTTCTTTTGCCGTATCAAACTCATCGTCGTCATCATCCCCCCGTTCACTTGCAGCAGTGCTTCTCGATATCACAGAAGATGGCGTCGAGGGTCTTGTTTCACCCAAATGACCTGGTTGCAATCGAGGTGAGGCAACATGACCCACGTTACCAGCATCGTCGTCAAATTCATTCAGTTCCTGCATATACTCAGCGCGTGCTCCTTTCATTGCAACGACATCCTCTTCATCCTCTAACTGAGCCATCGCATTCTCCACTGTATCAAGTGACACTTCGTTCTCATCTTCCATGTCCTCGTCCATGTCTTCACATTCCGACCTCGAGTCCGATTCCGACTCCATCTCCTGTTCTTCACCCGTACTTCCTGTCATCAGCTCGCGCAAGCTAGCTTTCGAGAAAAAATCCGTCGTGAACTGGCCTTCTGACATGACTAAAAAGTCTAAATGCCGCTTCTGTTGTGCTTTACGTAATATATTTTCCTCTACAGTATGTTCGCTGACAAGCCGATAGATATGAACATCGCGAGTTTGAC